TACCCAAGACCGTGCTTCAATTTAACCTAAAAACACTTTTACGGAAATAATCTGTAAACACTCGCTAGTCGTGGAATTCTGCTTCGCACTAGCGTAACGAGTCGAGTGAACATATCAGTCGCATCTATACTGACGAGATTATCCCACATTTGTGATATCTCTGCGGTGGAACTTTCCCCCCTCTACATTCACTTAAATACGCAGTTATTAGGCACGTGTATCGGTTCGGTTGTCCGTGGGTACATTTTGCCTGTAGATTTCGAGAAAAGTACTCGAATAGATGCTTATGTTATATGATTCAATCAAAGTGTATATGATCGATTCAACAAATCATCGAGACTCAAAATTCGCAGTGAACAATGATAAATATTAATTAACATTCACTAACGCGCGTCGAGCGAAACAAAAATCTCGATAGCAATTTCAGCCTCGAATTTCGATGATTTTTCAAAGACTCGCTCGTATATACACGCGCGAGAAAGAGCAAAGGAATAGTACGAAGAAAAAGCGACAAACCGTAAGTACCGTGTGCCCTTGGGTTATAGCCATTTATATGCTTAATAGCTTTACCTAAATATAATACCACGTCGTCTCTCTCTTTTATATATATGAACTCTCCTATTTCACGCATGGGCGTTGGCGGTGGTGGCGGCAACGGCTAAGTGAGGTGCACACGTGCTCGAGTAGAAGTGTGCGTGCGGCGGCGGCGTTACTATATACTATTATACACATACATACACGCATGGCATTTTGCGAGAGCTGTGCCGCGCGGCCAGACGAGGTCGTTATCTTTAAACTCTCGAGCGGAGAAAGAGGTACTATATAGAGCCCCAACGATATACCCAGAAGATAAGGGAAGAATCAATGGAGCCAGACGGCGTTGACTTATTGTTCGTTCCGTCAGAGGATAAGACGCGCTCGTAGTAGTAGGTATATACGTAAGAAAAAGGGGAGAGGAAAGTAAAGAAGAAAACGCGCAGAGCCAGAGCCACTGAAAACAATGGCTAATAATATATACGTAGCAAATAATAGTAATTGGATTCGGACGGGGGGGGGNGGGGGGGGGGGGGGGGGGGCTCGGCGAATATCTTGTGTATATCTAAATGAATCGTTTGTGACAAGGCGCTTTCTTGAAAATTACGCAAGAGGTCCTGCCCGTGGCCCCCGAGTCTCTGTGTGGGTGTATAAAATGCTCTACGGTACGTATGTGTGTGTAAGGACGAGAGAGAGAGACATGAGTCATTACCTCGGGGAAAAAGAAATAATGTTCAACCATTAATCAAAACTTTAAAACCGCAAGAGGAACTCGAACATTTCCTCGGCATTTTTCTCTCTATATACGCGCGCAACTACTGTGCAGCCATTGAAACTCTCTTCTGCCTCTCTCGAGGGGGTCTTGTGGCTGGCGAATATAGGACAGTCGGTGTGTTTTTTGGCCGCCGCGCGCAGCGTATTCGACACAAAAGAAAGAGAGAGGGAGATATATAGAAGCTTCGCGCGCGTCGCGACGAAAGAAATTTCTATTTACGTCTTGCGCTCGCAAAGAATCGCAATTAACACCGGGGGGGTAGATGCGGACACTTGCGTTGCCCTGCAAGATTCGCCACTTTGAAGCTTGATTTATAAGCCTTGTTGTATTATATACACCGTGTATATAATCGACAGCGTTTATATATATATATCGAAGGAAAATAAATTCCGAGGAGAATAAAGAGAGAAGCCGACGGCGCGCGGTACACAACAATGAGATAGTCGAGAAAATGTCTCGGGCGCCGCGACGACGTGGAAAAATCAGCGAACAACAAAACGCGCTTGTGTATCTCTGTGTGTGTGACTAAGCGCTCAGTCACACTGCCGCGCGAACGCACACGTGTGCGCGCGGCGGCGTGTATATCTATATACGCATTATACCGGGAGGAAAATTTATTTGAGCCATTTCGGCGCCACGAGCTACGTACGTAATGCGGTTAGACGAAATGAAAAGTGTCGCGCGCGTTGTCTACTCTATAGCTACTTATATGTATATGTGGATATGTGTGTGCAGCAGCAGCACCAATTTTCCTTACATTTTATCAGCTACTCTTCCGCTGTCGTGACTTTGCTAGGTGAATTTATACCGTGATAATGTGCACGGGCCTTTTTTTTCTCTCTCTCTCTCTCTTGCGTCTATCGCACTGGATTCAGAGAGATGGCACGCCGAGCGCGCAAGCTCGAGCTCGTTGATGCGGGCTTCGAATGCCTGTCGCTCGACTTGTCTCGAGAGAAAGGAGAGAGAGAGAGAGAGAGAGAGAGAGAGAGAGAGAGAGAGAAAAACAAAAGTAGAAAGAATCCCCAGGAGCGATTCCTAGCTTGTATTTATACTCGTGTTTTTCGTCCCCAAAAGCGCATAATAAATTCACGCGAGCGGGTGAGCTTTTCGGGGAGCTTGGCTGTGCAACGACGAGAAAGTAATGCCCATCTCGAAAGAGAGAGAGAGAGCTTCAACTCAACCGGCTGCACCTGCATTAGACACACTCGCGTGTGCGCCAGAGAGCAGTAGCAGGTAACAAGTCTTTGAATTTAATCCCAACGAAAAATATTCGGATAGACGCACTCGAAAACGTTAGAATCATTAGGCTAGTGTCGGAGGGAGCAGTAGCAGTCGTCGCGTATTTTTTTTTTTCTTTCTGCGCTTAGACTCTGCGCCGCAATTGGTATATTATTCGTATTTGTGAACGCGAGTGTGTGCACCTAGTTATGATCTAGGTCATCGCACGCGGCTGTCGCAGGCGTGTGGGTCATGCGTCGGATATAATGTCGCATCTAATTTACGATTTGAATAAGAGACAGAGAGAGAGAGAGAGTCGGCAAAGTAACGACCGAAAATTTGAAATTAAAATCAGCGACCTTAATTACACCCGAGTGAGCAACAAAAACAACGATAACAACGTGGTGGTGGTGGTGTCACACTACTCACTGGGTGCACGGAGCAGCCGTAGGTATAAGGTAGCAACAACAGTAGCAGCAAAGCAACTCTCGAGAGCTAGAGCTGCGCTAGAAGCTCCAGAGTACATAAGCTAAACAACGAGAGAGAAGGCGCGACAACGAAAGTTTCATTATAAAAAGCTCGAGCAGCAGCATAAGGCACGTGATTCAACTCTTAACTCTTGACCTCGTGCGCGCACGCAAGTACAATCCCTTTCGCAAAGTAGTATGCCTGACTAGTTAGAAGGAATAGGAAAAACTCATTTCTCTCTCTCTCTTTCTTGAGTTACAAGAGTTACCTTTCAGAGACTGTCCCTTGCTTGCCTCTCTTTGCTCTAAAGCACGACAATTTTTTTTTCTCGCTCCTACCTTCGCTCGCAGGCAGTGCAGTTACAGTTTCGTAAGCTGCAGCGTAGATACTTTGAATATCGCGAATAATTTTTTTCTTTCTCTCTCTTGCTACGAGCTCCTGTCCGTGCGTTAACATATATACGCTTACAGATGTATATGCGAGGAGAACGGCGGCAGTTAGCCGCGAGCACACGCAGTACAGAAGCGAGTACTCTTCTCTCGGCGCAATATACGTAGTTTATCTAATGGTAATGGATAAAGTTCGACTTTGCGGTCGAGGGACATAACGATTTTTTCTCGTTTCCACTCTCTCTGCGAGTTGACAATATCAATTCATCATGTTTATGTCAAAGTCCAAGCACGCGCGTCTCTGTATGGGCTGCTGCTGCTGCTGCTGCTGCTGCAGTGCGCAGTATTGAAAAATGACCATTGTTCGCCGCAGCGTTAGCGGCGCGGCGCGTGCACTTGACAATATACAATTTCTGGCTGTTGGATTTTTATTACCAATTGTTATACGAGAGTGGATAAGCCATATAACTGAAAGTAAAGAGAGAGAGAGAGAGAGCGCCGCTGTGCCTGCCTGCCTCTAAAAGCTGCTGTAGCTCAGAGACTGTCATTTTTCTCGCACAAAAAAAAAGAGCCAGCGAGCGGAGGAGGAAAAAAAAATCGAGCTCCAGCAAAAATATCTACGAGAGAGCTAAAAGCTCTCGGGGTATTATTTCCAGTTGGAAAAGTTTCTAAAGTTACCTTACACCTTGGCCCGCTCGCTCGCTCGCGACGTAATAGTTTATGACTATTAGGACCCCGAAGCCATGCAGCAGCGCAGAGTTAGAGCGCATAGGTATATATAGAGAAGCGATTACCTATAACGTTTGTTTTCTTTCTTTATTTTCTCTTTCTTTTCATTATTTTTTTTTCTCGTTGCGCTCGTTCAATTGGCATTATAACATAGTCATCGTTGACCGAAGATAAATACAATCGGAAATCACGTATTCTCTCTCTTTCTCGTGCGCCGCCGATGATTAACGAGGTTATTAACACATTCGTAATAACGCACGGGATATATAATAATAACAGATACACACGCGTACTTTGTGCGAATGATAAAATACGGAGTTTAGTCACTCTCTGCAGCTCGTAATATACACTCAACTCAATAGCTCGAGCGCGAGCGCGAGAGTGTAAATACGGGACACACGTATATGTCATCGATGCACAAAGAGAAGAAAAAAAAATGACAATTAAATCGTAAAAGGTCGCGATGACTCGAGATTACGGTGGCCGAGCGCGCGGATTATTAATCCAATACCAATACACTGGTGGCGCGCTGCAAAAGTGCGCGCACACCATGCGTTATATATAGCATAATAATATATCGTTCATTAGCATACACGCATGTCCGCGAGCGAATAACGATTCGCCGAAATAACTGCCTGCGTCGTCGCCGCAGCCGCTGGCGTGCACACAATATATCGTATATATCGTATTTATATCCGGTTTTATATATTTACTATATATATATCCGCATATATACACACGCATGCGTCAGAGAGAGAGCGTTTACCCATATAGCGTGCAAAAACCTGCACGGAATTTACGCTTATAAAAATCCGTCTTACGTTTTATTTATACAAAAACAGGTAGGTATTTATATGTATACACATATATATAGTGCTACTACTCACCGCTCGGTCATCGACGTAGACCGGCGTGTACTTGGCGCTGCCGAGTCTCGCCAGCTGTAGCAGCGTCAGCAGCGCGAGCGCAAAAATCGTCTGCAGACGCATCATCGAGGAGCGCACGTGCCCCCTCGTCGTCGTCGTCGTCGCCGCCGCCGCTGATTCTGTCACTTTTCTCATTGTGTCGTTGTCGTCGTTGGCTTTGTGTGCAGCGTTTGGTCACTAGATATTTTATTTTTTATTTATTAAAAAATTATCTTCGAACTATTTCACTCGACTCTTATTCACTTCACAAGTATTATATTCACTGCAAAATTTTGATCCCCTACAAAGACACACACTTACTGGGGGCTGGTATTATAGAGGGGTTAATCAATCACGGTCACCAGTCACACGCGTTTGTTCTCTCGATACGTAGCAACTGCAGCTCTCGATGACGAGACAGATATACGTATTAAGCGGTGGCGAGTGGTGTCCGTCAGGAGCATTGTCTCGCGGCTCCTTGACTTGCGATTATCCTCGCGATTATTCTCGTTTTCATCCTTCGGCTTCGCGATCGATTATTCAAGATCATCCGCGCACCCGCGTTTGATTTTATAATTGATATATAAACTATAACTTATCTCTATTTGTTGACACCACGATAAACGCGCACTCACTTAAAAAAAACACAGACACCAAACACAGAGGAGACACTGAAACCGAATAATTTTTTTCTCTTGCCTTTTCGCGCACTAAAACACCACTACTCTACTGCTGGCAAGCAGTATATATAAAACAACAAAACAACAATAGCCTAAGTAGACGAGGAAGAAGAGCCAAACGACGGCGGCGGCATGATGATGATGACGATGAGAAATCGTCGCAGCGCAGCACGCGGGCAGCAGCAACAGTCGGTCGGCGCTTCGCGAGACGTTTTTTCGCGTTAATATATCCCGCTCGACAGTCAAACAGTCAATGCGTGCCGCTGTGTTGCTGCGGAACTCGTTGACCGCCCCGCGCGCACACACACACACAAACGAGCGTCGTGCAGCTTATGGCAGAGCGAGCGAGCGAGTGAGTGAGAGAGCTCCTCAGTGTGTGTCGTGCATAGAGAGGCGCAGCAGTGGCCACCACTCCAGGAGTAGTATATAAGAGTGTACACGAAGATACACATACACGAGAGCCCCCGACGCACAGACACACATTTATAGTCTTCTGTGTCTCATTCTCTCTCTCTCTTTCTTTGGCTTATGCTCCGCGTACGGAGAATCGGGCGCGCGCCGCGCTGCGCTATATAAAGTCCGACGAGTATGTGTATATAGCAGTGTCGTTGTTATCGTCGCCTACTCTCTCATACTTGTCTCTTTCTTCTTTCTTCTTCATCCGCTTCGGTTTTTCTCTGCCGCTGCCGCTGCTGCTTCTTCTTCGTCTCTGCGCGCGTTCGATATATAAATGCGCGTCGAGTCGAGAGAGCTGCGAATATCGCGATGTACAGCTATACACACATACAGACGTGCGTTTATACCGTGTATGCGGACTCGTTATACGAGGCGCCTTTTGCTCTTCGAGCCTGTCGTTGTCGTCGTTGTCGTCTCGTCCTGCGCGTCGTGCTTATCCTCGACCATATTTGTCCTTGCTAATGTGCCGTACGTGAGCTGCTCGTAGACGGTAGTCGGAGTAGTTGGAGAGCGGAGCTGCGAACATAACAAAAAATCGATTAACATTTCTGTGCGCGTGGAATAAATCGATATTTTCCTATATATTGATCATTGAGTAAGTACGGGGCGCTGGTACGAATGATATCGAAATCCTGCTGCGCCGCGAGCAGAAACTCATCGACGCGTACCTCGACTCTCCATATATGCGTATTATAGATTATACGTTGTGACGAAGGACAGCCATAGGAGTTACCAGGATGATGCGCTACACGACGCACGTAGAATATAATACGGTGCTACAATTGTTACGTGTCAGGGTGAGAGCTTGCAGCGAGCTTCAATTCAACTTTGCCATATGTGCCTCGCGTATGCGGTTATTATATATTTCTCTCTCTCTATGTGCTATTGCCATAAGGTAGCGATTCCAAAGCTGCGGTAATATAACTCTCTCTCTCTCTCGCTCCATCCATCCGAGGCGCTATCCATTATATAATACATACATTCACAACGAGTACAAAGAGATAGATCCCTGGTACAGCCTCGAGCTTTCGCCAGCGCGTACATCATAGCTTGTCCGTTATAAAGCTCGCGCAAGCTCGTCAGCTTGGCGGCGGCGACGACGACAAAGCGCCGAGAGAGAAGCGCATCTTCTCGCTCTATCGCGCGCGGATACATCTCTCAGCCTGCGGCTTCTTCTCTACTTCTATACTTCGACTCGGCAAGTAAGCAAGATAGAGAACTAGCGAATGTATATCTGTATATATGTGTGCTGTGGGGCGAGGAAATACTAGCGTGTCATTAGCCTAATGGGGGCTACGCCGCGAAACGGATATACATAATATCGTGTATTGCACACTCGTCTTTCTGATCCCCCGCATTTGCCCGCGATAAATACGTATGGGTGATATCGGATACAATGAAGTTTGGCAATGGTCGCTGTCACCTACACGATAGTGGAGGAATATTTTGATACATTAATTAATGTCGATAATTTTTTTTCTTGTCAACTTTAAAAGAGGATACGTACTGAATGGATCAAGTGACTTTCGATGCTTTTTCGCGGCAAAATAGGTCTGTTTTGTCTTTACCGTGTTCATCAGTGGTGGGTTAGAAAAAGTGCTGCCTCCATGCATACTTTCGTTTGCCACTCACGAAATTCGAAAAGCTTCAGTATAAGACTTTGGATTGATGAAAGTACTAATAAGGGATACAAGAATTATGAGAGCTTTTACTAACTCTGAAAAGATGTAAAAAAAATGTTTTGGTTTGAATTAAATTAATAAATGTTTTCCACGTTAGTTTTTACTGAACACGTCTCTATTTAAACAAAAACAATCAGTTTGTCAGCAAATTTATTGAAATTTAAAAAAAATCATGTGTACAAATATCTTTACATGATTGCAATTTTCAAATATGATTTCTGTCCTTTGATGGCTGAGCGAATCTGATTTTCGTCCAAATTTCTTCTCGCTATTGTCAAATGCGTAATCTTACTGACCTTGGTGTAACGTCTTTTGGTGCTTGATCAAAGATAATTGATTTCTGAATATCTTCTCGCAGTTGTTGCATCCAAAATCTTGACGACCTTCATGGACTGTTCTTTGGTGTTTCAACAAATGTGATTTTTGTCCAAATTTTTTCTCGCATTGATCGCATGCATAATCTTTGCGACCATCATGAACTGTCTTTTGGTGGACGCGCAAGTTGTGTTTATGTCCAAATTTTTTCTCGCAATTGTCACATGCATAATCTTGACTACCTTCGTGTACTGTCTTTTGATGCTGAACCAAAATCCATTTTTGTCCAAACTTCTTCCTGCACTTGTCGCATACATAATCTTTGCGACTTTCGTGTACTGCCTTAAGGTGAATTAGAAAATTTACTTTTTGTCCAAATCTTTTCTCGCATTGATCGCATGCAAAATCTTTGCAACCATCATGAACTGTCTTTTGGTGGACGCGCAAATACGATTTTACCCCGAATTTCTTCTCGCACTTGTCGCATTCGTAATTTTTCCGACCCTCGTGGACTGTTCTTTGATGTTTCAACAAATCTGATTTGTATCCAAATTTCTTCTCGCACTTGTCGCATGTGAAATCTTTGCGGCCCTCGTGGACTATTCTTTTGTGGTAAAAAAAATGCAGTTTTTGTCCAAATTTCTTCTCACACTTGTCACATGTGTACTTTTTGTGACCTTCATGGACTGTCTTTTGGTGTAAGAGCAGACTCGATCTCAATCGAAATTTCTTCTCGCAATTTTCACATGCGTAATCTTTCCGACCATCATGGACCCATTTTTGGTGTTTGAGCAAATTAAATTTTTGTCCATATTTCTTCTCGCACTTGTCGCATGCAAAATCTTTACGACCTTCGTGTACTACCCTTTGGTGTATAAGCAAAGACTGGCTTTGTCCAAATTTCTTCTCGCAATTCTCACATGCGTAATCTTTCCGACCATCATGGACCCATTTTTGGTGTTTGAGCAAATTAAATTTTTGTCCAAATTTCTTCTCGCACTTGTCGCATGCAAAATCTTTACGACCTTCGTGTACTATCCTTTGGTGTAAAAGCAAATGCGAATTTCGTGTAAATTTCTTCTCGCAATTTTCACATGCGTAATCTTTCCGACCATCATGGACCCATTTTTGGTGTTTGAGCAAATTAAATTTTTGTCCAAATTTCTTCTCGCACTTGTCGCATGCAAAATCTTTGCGACCTTCGTGTACAATTTTTCGGTGACTCAACAAATCTGATTTACTTACAAATTTCTTCTCGCAGTTTTCACACGCGTAATCTTTCCGACCATCATGGACCGATTTTTGGTGTTTAAGCAAATTCGTTTTTCGTTCAAATTTCTTTTCGCACCTGTCGCATTCAAGATCTTTGCGATGCTCATGGACTGCCGTCAATTTCTTTTCAGATTTATCCCGTACGTAATCTTTGCAACCCTCATGAACTGCTTTTATGTGTAAGAGCAAAGTATGTTTACTTCCGAATCTCTTCGCGCATCTTTCACACAAGTAGTCTTTGAACACTTCGTGGAATATTTTTTTGTGTTTAAGTAAAGTTGATTTATTTTCAAATTTCTTCTCACACTTGTTACATGTAAAATCTTCATGATATTTGTGTATGAATTTTTGATGTGTGAACAAACTTGATTTTTTCAAAAATTTCTTTTCGCACCGGTCGCATGAAAAATCTTTGCGGACTTTGTGTACTGATATTTGGTGTCTACTCAAATGACTTCGGAACTCAAATTTCTCTTCGCACTTTTCACATGAGTAGTCTTTTCGTTTATTGTGGATTGTATCTCGATGTGTCATCATACTTGATTCTAGTGTAAATGCCTCTTGACAAATATCACAAACATATTTTTCGTCATTTGAAACACCAATGTCGGGTTCACTTGAGTTATTTTTTGAAACTATTTCCTCCGATTTCTTATCACATTTATCCATTTTGATGCCTAAATTAAACGATGAATTTGTCTATTTAGTGCCTCGGAAATCGAATGAGAAAAATTGATATTTTAGTATTATGGACTGTTTCATCGGGAAAGAAAACATGGAAACTAATTTGCTTTTGCTATAAACATGATCAGGGTGATGAGTGATTATGTCAAAATCGTTTATGATCATATCGTTTACCACTGAGTTATCGAATTATCTGTTTACACATTGTTCTTACAACATTTGAAACAATTTAAAATTTTAACTTGGCGACGATTCTGCCGAGGAATTTTTCGTACTTTTAAAACTAAATACTTAAAAAAAAGCCAATTTTTTCTCATTTAAACAATACCCCAAAAATGCGCATTTTCAAGCGAGGTAAAATTTCTTCATTTTGGACGTTAATGGGTTAATTGTAACGGTTGCAGATTTGAGGCTGAGAGAATCGCGAGAGCTTGGAGGGGCAGAAAAATGGAAAAATATCGTGACTTTTCTCCGTATATTAGTTAAATGTAAGTTTGTTACTGAATATCAATCAGCGTAGACACAATTCTCGGCAGAGCCTTTGCTTTGTCCTGCCAAGCTCTCTTCTCACTTTTCGCGTCAACGCTTTTGTGTCCAACCACGTTAATCTAGTTTAGTCCAGTAAGACTTGGATTAACAAACTACTACTGTTCTTTCGTTTTTTAGTTAAACGAAAAGCACGAATTACTTTTTTTACCCAATTCGACTCCGTTTCTTGGCACTGTTGAATTCGCCTGAGTAACCGACTGTTAGCTCTCTTTCTCTCTCTCTCTTTCTGAACGCTAGTAAAGATGCCTAATCATCTCTTTACCTTGTATTGCAATCT